ATGCTACTGATCTCTGTAAGGGTGAGCAGCAACGATGCTACTGATCTCTGTAAGGGTGAGCAGCAACGATGCTACTGATATCTGTAAGGGTGAGCAGCAACGATGCTGAGTATATTCATTTGTAAACTATCTTCCATCACTGTAGATTGATGGTGGTCAAAACCTTTAGGAATCCCTCGTTAATCCCTTCCAGTCACGTATTTCTCGACAAAGGCTACTACTCAGGTCCTGCAAAATCACTTTCATCACATTCATCACTTCCCCAAAACAATTACCTCATGTCACAAAAGCAAATTCCACCAATGAATTAATCTGTGCCACCAAAATGAAAAGTACAGTCAGCATCATTTTAACCATGAGAGTCAAAATGCTTAGATATATTGTCAGTATGCCAGTGTATTTCTGCTCCGGAACTCCACAATGCTGAATGATAGTCGGTTCCCACTTTCTCATTGTCACTGACTTTTCTTTGGCAAACTGATACTTTTTCATGTCAAAGACACCAGCTTCAGCACCGCAAGGCTCTGCTCTACAGTATGTAAAGTTCACTGGCAAGTGAAAGCACTCACATGTATATGTAACTTCGTCAGATCTTAAGACACAAACAAAAAAGTCACACAGCACAGAATAACACAGAAACAGCAAAACGGCGATACAAGGACAACAAAATGACAACAAAATCATGTACTGCGGGCAGGGGCGCAGCTAGAGATTTCGGGCCCCATGAAAGCCTGTCACACCGGGCCCCCCAACCCAGACCAATCCAATTATGTTCCAAATTTTGTAGGGCCCCTATCACTCAGGGGCCCTTGCATTCATCCGAACTTCCCCCCTATACGGCGGCCCTTACTGTGCGAACCAAAAACACAACAGTGATATATAACTGTTGTTTTGATTATATGTTTTAGTCATTTTGAAAGCTTGCATGTGATGACTAACACGATGATCATATATATATATATAGTTTTGGGTTAGGACTCCCAATCAGAAGGTGACTGGTTCTAATGCCCTGGACAAACATGTCTGCTAAATAAGTGAGTAAATTTAGTGAATAAAAATTAAAAGGTTCATACCTCTTTCACCCTCTGGATCATTGGCTGCAACCAGTCTGTGTTGACCTCACAGTGGCTGTCTAGAAATGTCAGAATGGAGGCCGAAGCAGCACCAGCTCCTCGAACCCGGGACCGGATCAGCCCTGACAGAGAATCAGGGAGGGAGAGGGGACAGGTATTTGTTGAGAAGCAGCCCTGAGACTGTGTCATATTGTGTAAAGATTCATATGAACATTCTGCTCTTTTACAACTATTGGATGTCTGTATCTGATCCAGTATGGACACTCAGAGCCATAATTTCAACAATTTCCAGTTACTCATTAAAACAAACCACATTGCTGTCATCTCCCAGACTCTTCATTACTGGGCCCAAAGTCACAGAACGATCTCTCTGGCTCCATGTGAATTACAGAGTCATTCTTAATGTTCTGATACAAACCAAAGATTTGCTCTTCATAGTCTTTACAGAACCCAGACATTGGCACAAAATATGGAGAACATTGTTGGACAAAATGCATCTTAAAAATAATCTGTAATGTTAATGTGTATTAATACAAAAAGCAATCTAGAGATACTCTTTGCATACTTGTGCTGGTATATTTACTAACACTTGTAGAGCAAAGATATTCTGCTTCTGGGCCTGGTAATGTAAAGATATTTTACTCAACACTGGCCTCCTTCTGTTCCTCCCTCATCTCCTCTCCCAATTCACTGTCTGCTTCTCTGCACCTCCTTAACTCCCCCAACTGCACTCTGACCTACCCATAGTTCCACTCACCTTCTCTACGTCCATTTCTTAGGCAGCGCACCTTGGGAATCTCAGTGAGAAGCTGGCAGTCTTGGGCTGCAAGAGACGGGAGGTTTTGCAAGCAGACAGCATGTTCCGGAGACAGCATGCAGGCTTATCGTGCTGGAAGATGTGTCTTTTGGTTAATAAAGAGGAGGACTTGAGTCACTGGGTTAATTACAAATGCATGACCTGGGCCTCTGTTACCTGATGTAAAATAAGCAAAGTCAGTTACGACACAACATTCTGCACAGAGAGCTAATCCTTAGCTGAAACCTGAGCCCTTTGCGAATCGCGCCCCAACACACAGATTACCAATTCTGCATCTTGAGGATTACACAGCTCTTTGATATTGTCTAATCTCCTTGCTCTAATCAAACAAATTCCCCAGTGTAGCAAAAACAAGTCCACTAATCGAGAGAGAGAATATATGTGATTTTGAGGGGATTTGCATGCAGTTTTTTTTTCTTTTTTTTTGGGGGGGCGGGCAGATGGGACCAGAGGAAGGAGGATTAAGAAGTGGCACTGCAGGCTTCCCTATTGAATGGCTCTTCCAAATGGGTCCACTGGCCTTTCACTGCATTAAAATTGCCCTGTACTTTTAGTCTAGGCCGCAACCAAGCTTTTACAGTGAGATTTTCTTAACTAACCATAGCCTGTTGGGATTAAACACAGTTTCATTTACGGTTTACTTTTATGGTGAGACATATTTAATTGTGTGTTAAATCTACTTCTGTTAAGGAAAGTACGACTATATGACAATCTTAATTAAATCAGGACAGCCGTAGGTGTTACAATTCTGCTGTTCGAGCTCCAGTCAAGCTGACACACGGATTTCATTGGCTACAGCTTGACAAGTAAGAATAAAAATTTTAATTCTCACTGGGTGTGGGGTGGGAACGTGTGAATGCACTGCTAAAGTCGACCGCAGAAATTCCACAGATTGCTTTCAACCAGCTTAATAATGATACTAATTCTCACGTTGGCTCAAATTCCAGTAGGTCTGTGAAGTGTTTTGCACTGGACAAGCATTTCAAGCCACCGCAGCTCACACTTTTCCAGAAGCAGAACCAGCAGTGGCATACCTCTACTCTGAGTTCATAAAATAAAGCTAGACTAACAAAAGCCCTATTAACAGCTGCTGGCACATCCCTGAAGAACGTGGGCCAGATGTGACAGATTTCAATGAGACTGGTCAAATGAAAGGAAAAACTGTTTAATCATTAACGATGATATCATCAAGTATTAAAATAACCTCACCTTTTCCATCTTGGTAGGTCTACTGTGTTTTTAAGGTCTAGCAAAACTGTTTTTCATGGAGAACTCCAATTCGAATCTCACTTTGCTAAGTCTCTTTAGTTCATTTACAGCCTGCACCAAAATGGTTCTCTTGCGCATTAACTAACCATCCTGAACTGGATCCCACTGGTCCGATACAGTAGTCCTTTTAAGAGCAGACTTTCATTTAGCCCGCTAAAATGGCACAAATTAATTTCTGCAATATATATAATTTAGTAAGAGAATTTAATTTTGAGTCTCTTTATGAATTCTCTGATCCTCTATGATCAGCAATACCTTCACCAGACACATATTAATTTGATATCTTTTGCAAAAGTATTTCAATTATGTTTAAATGGTAACATAATAAACCAAAAAAACGGCATTCCCTAAAAACAGTCACAAAAAGGAGCTCTCTTTTGTATTAATCTAATTGAAAGGCACCTACGGTCATTGCTGAAGTCGTCCACAAGAATTATTTCCTGGATCAAAGATGGGGGACTCCGTAGCAGAACACTAAAATGGGAAACGAAAATTAAAATGAACCTGTGTATTCAGTGTTGGGAAAAATACTCAAAAAAGTAATCTATTACAGACATGAAGAAAGGAACAAATCCAGACCAAGGTTTTGTTTCAACCAGCCAGTGGAGTACAGTGTGATGGTGCCTCATTATACTCAATCGGTTGAGTAACTTCCACAACACTGTGTGAATTACATGGAATTACATCTCTTACAGAATTTCTATGTGACAGATGTAGCTGTTCCATAATCTGACACTTTGAAGCAGACCCTTTTTACCTTTTGATTGTGCGTAAAAGTGTAGATCTTGCCTCATTGTGGAAGGTAATGACAACGCTTGTGGGTGGCAGATCAGGGTCAAAGGCCAGAGATGCACATCTAAGAAAATAAAACGAGTACTCAAATAAGTTTTCAGTAAGAACATACACTGACATTGTGATTACTTAAGATTTGCCTCAGTAAATACCTGAAAACCAGAAATATCTTTATTAAGGAGGGCACAGTATTTAAAATAACATTTTTGTAATTAGAGAAAATGATAGAAAAATGTAGGATACCAAACCCATGCTTAATAAGAAGGAATAGTGAATTGCAGGAAACACAATGCGGTCAGATACTGCCTTAAGTCCCTATTCTAATTTATTCTAATTTCTTCATTCTTCTTTTAAGCAATGATCATGCAATGACAGAAAAAAATCTATTTAAGATCAGCAGAATAATTATAGCTGGATTTCAGATTCAATTTATAGATTTTAGCAGGGGCATAAAACTGATATTTTATGTTAAATGTGGGGGGGTTCCCCACATGGATTTTAGATACAGATCACATAATGAAACTACATGGAGTCACTGGATCTACATTCTGGTCTTGCTCTACAAAAAAGGCCAGCTGGGTGGCACTGGAACAAAAAGTAAGAATGAAAGATTTCTTGACTTTGCTAGAATAATGAGGAACAGAGGCTCTGTCCTTTGTATTGGGAAAGAAGCACAGCATGCTGTAGCCGTGGGGA